GATATCATCGCCTTGTTGTCTGTGTCATAGATAATGCATATCCTGTATAATAAAGATGTAATATGCAAATGGTCGTTACATCGTGAAGCGTAATGACTGACCGCATAATGACCAGGGCAGCAAGCTACAAGTGGGCGGTGGAGAGCTACAGAAGGGAGCAGGGTAACAAGCTATGAAGGGAGTGGGAGGAGCTACAGGAAGGTGCAGGTGGAGAGCTACTGGAGGGCGGCATCAAACTACTGGTGAGCTACTGGTGCACAAATTCATGCGCAGGCCTATTAATACTGTGTTTCCCTGAAAATAAGACATCCTCCGAAAATAAGACCTACTTACAGGTTTCCTTCTGAGTGAAATATAAGGCATCCCCCGAAAATAAGGCCCCCCCTAAGCTAAACATGAGAGATTTGGTCCACTGATTCTGAAAGAAATGGAGCCACAAGAAATTTACCAGAAAATTCAGGAATTGCATTGTTATGATGATGTTCCAGAAGATGATGACATGATTGTCATTGAATAAATGAGTAAATTCTTGATACTGTAGGATTCACAGTTTGTCTGGTTTGTGTTGACAACTACCTTACTACTGTACTGTTTACAGGTAATAAATTTCCTTTATTTTCATTTAACAATAAATGTGTACCGTATTCTTCTTCATGGAAAAATAAGACATCCCCTGAAAATAAGACCTAGCGCATCTTTGGGAGCAAAAATTAATATAAGACACTGTCTTATTTTCGGGGAACAGGGTATGTATAAAAGCTCTTTGGTTAATCTCTCCCTGTCATCCCTCCCTCACTTCCCTCTGAGATCCATCAGTCTGTTTCGTGTTTCCATGCCTCTGGTTCTATTTTCATCAGATTCCTTGTTCATTTATTTTGATTTTTAGATATAGTTGTTGGTAGATATGTATTTATTGCCATTTTATTGTTCATATTTTTTCTCTCTTTTCTTCCTCTTCCTCTTCTTAAAGAATACCTTTTTACATCTCATGTATTCCTGGTTTGGTGGTGATGAACTCCTTTAGCTCTTTCTTGTCTGTGAAGCTCCTTCTCTGACCTTCAATTCAAAATGATAACAGGTTGCTAATTTTTAAGTTGATAATTTGTCATGGCTGGTGAATGATGTTATTGTTGTATCATAAATCAGCGAATGAGATAAAAGATGCCTTAATGAGCCAATTAATTAGGAGTTGTTTATTGCATGTGGCCTATAGGGATGTGTCTTTTCCAAATCTCTGAGCAACACATACAGGAAGTTTTTCATATTTATATCTTTTGAGCTTCTTTGTTTGCAGATATTACAAAGGGCTTTGTGTGAGTTATTGTTATAGACAGTTGTAACCTTGAATACATAATGAGTTAGTACTTGGCATAAGAATGTGAGAATTATTATCAGTACTAGAGACCCGGTGAACGTGGAGGGTCCCCTCCGCCCAGCCTGCACCACCACCAATCCAGGATCCCTCGGGAGATGTCCAACTGCTGGTTTAGGCCCCATCCCAGTGATCGGACCTAAACCGGCAGTCAGACATCCCTCTCACAATCCTGGACTGCTGGCTCCTAACTGCTTACCTGCTTGCCTGTCTATTGCCCCTACCTGTCCCCCTGCTGGCCTGGTCTCCCAGGCACCTGCTGCTCAGCCATTTGTTCACCCCTCCCTAAACCCCCCTGTCGGCCTGGTCTCCCCACGCAGCTTGTTTGGTCATCTGCTAGGTTGCAATGATTGCTTAGGCTTTTATATAGATAGATAATATAAATATATTAGTCTATTACATTGGATGGCTAGCTTGCAAGACAGTTAAGTTTATCTTTTTCTATTATTTGAACTAAAAACAAAGTCTATTTTATAGAATAAGAGACTGTTTTAAAGGGACAGAGTTTTCAGGACAAGGGATTACCTAACAATAGCAGGGAGTTTCAAACAGCAGTTTTCTATACAAGACAGAAGTTACTATGCTTCATTATAACTACCCAAATGGCCCTCGGCAGAAAAATGGTTCCCCGCCCCTGGTGTAGAGGGAACCACTCCTTTGGGTCCAGGTTCTGTTCACGAGATGCATCGCATGGTGTAGTCTGTCTGGGCGCTGAGTGGGGATGAGCCCACGTTCCTCCATCCTCCCATCAGTGGGCAGCAGGGCTGACCCCTGGCTGAGGCTCTGCATGGTGCTGCTCAGATGTTTTATCGAACATCGTGCTGGACAGACACCCCTCGTTCTCTCGTCTGTACGTGGAGCACTAGGACACGATGTGTTCAATTCTAGTGGACACGGCCATGTATGAAAACCTGTGTTTTTATGAGTTTCCGGTGCAGGTAGTCTTGGTCTGCGCTTTGAGAAACACCGCAAAGCTAAGCACCTGATGGTGTGAGCAAACATAGTCCCTTCAGTCCGCCTTTCTCGGGCCACCTCTGAGATGCTGGCAGGGACGTGGGAGCCGCAGAGAATGAGAAGTCACGACTCCAGGGCGCCTCTTCGGAACAAATCTTCACAATTTACTTCCTCTGCCGCCGAGAAGCTGCTAATAGGAGAGCATTGATGGACTGAGGGCGGAGAAGCCAGGACACTGTGCCCGTCAACCACATCCCTGCCATCCCAGGCTCAGGCTAGAATAAGAACTCGTTGAGGATAACGGCAAGTGCTTTTACCAGATTTGCTGTAAGAGGAGAAGTGCACGGGCCCTTGGGCCAGCCTTGTGGGCAGTGTCTGACCCTTCCTCGTCTTACACATGCCCACAGTGGAGAGATTCTTGACTCTGGAAGGAGATGAAGAGATGGTGCCCTGCTGGACCAGCAGGGATAACGGTGACCAATGGCGGGGACACTGTCTTCCTTGGTCCATTGGCCATTAACACAGATGCAGGGCTTCTCTGAGGCCAGGCCAGGAAGCAGGACTCCTGCTGGCCCGGCTGGGAAGCCTGCTCATGCTGGCCACGCTGGCTCCCGGGCCTGCCGCAGCCTAGTCGAACACTGCCCCCTGCTGTTTGTCGCTGAGCACTACAGCCAGGGGCCTGCACAACTGACAGCAGGCAGGCCTCCGGGATGGGAGGCCCTCAGGGGAGGCAGTTGGAGAGGGAGTGGAAGCAGTATGGAATCAAGTGAGGAACTAGCTCATGTAGGGACATTTGAAGGGAATTAAGCTGTTAGGATCACAGTTCTTCTACCGGTTGTACCCCCGCCCCCACCCCCACCCAGCTCTTCCAGACACAAAGGGACCTCCTGTCTGCATTGGCAATGTCTGGAGGCGTTTTGGGTTTGTCACTATGGCACCTGTGTTCAGAGGACAGGGACACAGCCAGCCGCCCGCCACACAGTGCAAACCATTCCTAGTGGGGGCGTGGACCAGAAAAGCCGACTCCCAGAAATGTGAGCCTCGATCTACATCAAGGGTGTGAGGCTGTAGCTGTTCATCTCCGGAGAGGGGAAGGGGTCCAAGCAGTGCCGGGCTGGTTCCCTGGACGGTCACGTCCAGAATTGTTTGGCTTTCTGAGTAGCTGCCCCAACCTGAGGGACCACAGCTCCAGGAGCCTACCTGTTTACTCTGGGACACGGGCACTATTTGTTGTATAGTGTCATTGGCTGGGTAATAACTGCGTCCTACTTTCAGTGTAATTATCATGTGTTTGCTAATTGCCTTTTACACCTGTAGCGCTACTGCCTCCCGCTTCCTGCATCCAAGTGGGATTCCTGGGCATCTCACAGTCCCTGTGCAGCCGAGATGTGCCACCGTCACCCCACTTTACAGATGATGGGAGTCGTAGACTCTGCCAATGCCCCAGGCGCGCCCCACCCCTTTCTGTCCGTCAGCTTAGGAAAGGCTAACCCAGCTCAGTGCCCAGATGGGACAGTGCTTCCAGCTCAGAGAGGACACAGGCTCAGAGACCAGGGAGGCGAGGTGGTCCAGGTCACAGTGGTCGGACAGGAACAGGACCCAGTGGCAGCCCCTTCCCCGGGGCCTCTCGCCCATCGGAAGCCGCACCTCACAGTCCCAGTGCCTGAGCCTGAGCTGAGCGCCTCCCCCAGCCCCGGGGCCCGCCACACAGAGCCAGCGATGCACAGTGAAGAGAAAAGACATTTAATCATCTCGCTCTAATCTCATAAAGCGCTGTTTCCACAAGTGCGGGAGGGATTGCTTCAGCAGCATTTACCAGTGATTCCGACACACGCAAGAAAACGCCCAGAAACTGTGTGGATGCCACTTTATAATTTCGCACTGATGGAGAAAGGTGCACCGATGGCAGCTTAGTGACCATCCTCACCTTTAAATTAACCTTTGCTGGGGGCGGAAGGGGAGAAAGGAAAACAGGGAAGGATGACAGTGACAGGGGGACCAGGGCACCTCGGTCTGCTAACAAGGGCTCCTGGACACATCGCCCTCAACCCATGAGCTAGTCAACAAGACAGGCAACAGTTAAGACACATTAAAAAACCTAAAAAAAAAAAAGAAGAAAAAAAAAAAAAGGAGGAAAAAAACCCCATCACAGTCCATTCTTAAAACCAAGCACAAAAACCGATAGTGGATACGAGGTCCCGCGTGCCCGTCTGCTTTGAGGCCTTCGGGGGGCGACTGCACAGCGTGGCTCACGCAGGGACTGCGTGGCACCTGGGCCACGGCACCCGGCCTCGTGGTACTGCAGGTGCGCCCCCTCCCGGGCAGCCCGCCTGCAGGAGGGTGGGACATGCCTCCCCGACAAGAGGCGGCCCCAGAGGCCGGGGGGCAGCAGGCTGTGTGCTTTGGAGGCGCTGCCTCTGGAATGTGCCACGGGCTGCGCTGGGCGGGCCGAGTTTCGCTCCACACCGTTTAAGTGCTCACTTTATCTCTCATGTGCAAACTGTCACTGTCTAAAGCTTTCAGAAGGACGCGGATAGGTACGGACACCCCGCGGAGAGCAGGGGCATCGGGGGTCGGGCCCTGCTCCGGCGGGCTGGGCGGACAGAGGTTTGGAGAAAGGCCGTGTCTGCTGAGCTTGAACTGGAGTCCCTGATTGGGCCGCGGGAGGCGGTCCTCAGTAGCTGATTGTCCACTCTTTGACGGAGGCATCGTGGGAGGTGGTGACCAGCGTGTGCTCGTCCAGCCAGGCCAGGCTGCTGACGTGGTGGAGCCGGTGGGCATCTGAGGAGAGAGACACAGCTTAAGGAGAGCCCGGCTGCTCAGCTGCTCCGCACACCTTGGGGGGGATGATGGAGCAGCCATGGGGGCCCGGACTCGATCGTTAAGGGATCCCCTTCCCCTCGCTGCGGAAGGATCAGGCCTGGGATGGAGGAGAAGCGGGCGGCCCTCCGAAGGTGCTGACCCCTCAGGACACTGCCCGACAGGACGATCCCCCCCGGGACGTGAGCCAGGAGGGACGACGGCCTGTGACGTGGGCTGCTGCCTCATGTGGAAATGACGTGTTGCAGTAAATAATATAACCATTAAAAAGAACTTCCTGTTTCTTTTTTAAACTGGCTGCTAGAAAAATGTAAAGCCCCCAGGATGGCTCTCCTGAGGCTGCTGTCAGAGAGCGCGAGGCTGAGGGGGGGCGGTGGAAGGGGGAGGGAGGAGGCGATGGCCTGAATGCTTGCTCCGACCTGGACGAGGCCCCGCCGACCACGCCGGCACCCTGACCTCGGGCTTCCCCTCCAGAGCTCTAGTTTCTGGGACAGTAAGCCTGTGTGGACCGACTCGGCAGCCGAATGGACTCGGACAGAGATGTCAGAGGCCGACTCAGCACGGGCCTATGGATGGAGACCCCTCGAGCACACCTGCTGTCAGTCTGAGGGCCGGCTCGGCCCGCAGAGCCTGGCTGGATGGGAAGGAGGAGACACGCCGTCACCGGTGACCTCCTCGGAAGGACAGAGGGGACACTGGAGCCCCCGGGCCAGCTGCCTGGGAGGCCCATGGGTGTGAGAATCACCTTGGATCTTGACTCTGGTCTCGGGGTCACTCAGGGTCCAGACGTACACCATCATGTCCATGCCCCCGGAGGCAAAGTGCTCGTTGTCCGGTGACCAGGCCAGGCAGACGATTTTTGCGTGGTGCCCGTAAAACACATTGTTCTCCTAGTTGCGGGGTAAAAACAGAGGCAGCAGAGGTCAGGGGTCAGGCCAGGGATGGATCCTCACCAACACTCCCAGAGACCAGGAGTGCCAGGCGACGCCTTCCGCTCTCGGCCTCCTTGTAAGAACCCCACCAAGTCCAGCATCAAGCACCGGCCACCGTCTCAGCCCTCAGCCCAGCGAGGGGACATGGAAGGCCTGGCCAGGGAAAGCGGACATGGAGGCATGAGGCCCCGCCCTCCCCTGCGGGGCCGGCCGCCTGGGCAGAGCAGGCGGCTTTGCATGCAGCCGCTTCCAGAGCGTGCCCCGGCCGGAAGCCTCTCACTAAGGGCTTCTAACAGCGTACCCCATCTTGCCAACCCCCAGAAACGGCCCGGGATGGTCTTTCTCGTTTGCTATGCCGGCCTCTGTGGATTCTGCTCCCGTGAGTTACTCAGGCGTTTTAAGGCTCCTAACAGGCAAACGAGGCCACTGAACACGTGATCTCGTGGCACCGTCGGAAGGGCACCTCTTCGGGGTGGGGTAGGGTGGTGTGTATCTTGACAGGTGAATGCCAGCACACACGTACTCTTGTTCACTGCCTTTTGTTATGGTCCGTTTCACAGCGGGATAAAGCGTTAATGGTGAATTCTTTTAGCTGCTGTAGCTTTCAGAACATCCGTGTTGGGGGTCGCTGGCGGTGGGGAGCCCCAGGGACTGGGGACCTGTCCCCATCCCGCGCTGCCCCCTGCCTCTCATCCCGCCAGGGACCAGGTCTCTCCGAAGCATGGCCCCGTTTGTGAGCAGGACGGGCGCCGGCCAGGGCAGCTGTGCTGTGAGCCAGGAACCCTCACCCCCACGTGCAGAGTGCCCTCGGCTGCTCCCTACGCCCTATTGCCGAGAGAAAAACCGGACCAGGCCTCTGACAGAGAGAATGGCCTCAGGGTGAGGAGGGCACTTAGCTGCCCAGCTAAGCCCTCGGCACCTTCAAGCAGCTGCCGCCCAGCTCCCTCGCTTCCTCGGAACTGGGACCTCTCTTGCCCGGAACACGGCTCCCTCGGCAGGGTCTGCCCACGCCGGTCACCCTCCAAGAGCAAAGTCGCCTGCTCCCTCCCGCGCACCGATCTGGGCGGTGACAGGAGGGAAAGGCCGTGGCCCTGACCCGCCACTCGCGCGGCCCAGCCCGGGACACAGGACAGACTGGCACTCACCGCGTAGCCGTCGGCAACGCTGAAGACGGTGACCACCTTGCTGGCGTCGCACACGGCGAGGAAGGCGCCGTCGTGGGAGTAGGCCAGGTCGGTCACGGGCCCCTTGGCCTCCAGCAGCTTGCCCTCGTCCTTCAGCGAGGTGCCCAGGATGGAGTACAGGCGGACGTTCCCGTCCTGCAGGGTCAGGGTCAGGGTCAGGGCAGTGACTGGGGGGGAGGGGGGGGTGCTCCGGGGAGGGGCCCTAGGCACCCCAGTTCTGAGTCTGTGTCTGGGTGCTGGGGAGTCTATTTACAAACACTCCAGAAAGTTCCAGTGAGGGCTCCCAGCACTCAGCTGCTCCTGGCACCTGCTCCCTGGCAAACCTCCCTCTGCCCCGCTCTTTCAAAGGCTGTGCCTGCCAATCAGCCCACGTGCCGCCCTCAGCCCCAGGGGTCCTAGGTCAGGGATGCCCATGGCAGCTCCCAACAGCCTGGGCATCGGGGGGTGGCTCTGCTGCATGCAGGGAGCCTGACAGGGTAGATGCGCCTCGGGTGCCTCCCCTTCGGGGCGGGGAGCTCTCAATTTTATGCCCCCGGGGCCTGGCACTGAGAAGTGTAACACTCACTGGGACGAGTTGGGAGGGTGGCAAGGGTGAGCACCCAGGACGGAGTTAGAAGGAAAGGGCGGTAACCGGGGTAGGTGGTGTCCCTGCAACCGCCTGAGGCCGGCCCGGGCAAGCCAGCGCCCAGCCAGCACTCAAGGCGGCTGAGCTGCCGGCACCCCAGAGGCGGTTCAAGGTCCCCCGGTAGGTCTTAAATGCCCTTCCTGGTGCCCTGTGCTGTGTGCCCAGAACCAGGACAAGACTCGCCAGGGGCCGGGCAGACCTCGGAGACTGAGGTCACCAGGGACCCAGTGCCACTCCCTCCCACTTTGCCTGAGAGCCCCGCTCTCCCAGCCCAGGCACCCGGGCAGCGGCCTTACCGTGGCTCCGACAGCCACCATGTCGCCGCCGGGGTGCACCGCCACCACCTCGGGCTCGTAGCCGGGGCTGTCGATGCTGAAGCACTTCCTCTGGTCCTTCAGCAGGACGATCTGCGGACACAGGCAGCGGTCAGTGGGAGCCGGCATGGGGCAGCTCCGGTCCGGCTCCCTTTCTGGCCTTGCTGGGGGGACCGTGCGCGCCAGCCTCGGGCCTGGGACCCCGAGTATGCTTCCTCCCTCATCAGCCAACAGGACAGCGGCGGGTCCTAGTCACAGGACTGCACTATCACCCCTAGTGCCACATCACCGCCACAGCACCTACCCTGTTTCCCCGAAAATAAGAGTGTCTTATATTAATTTTTCTCCCAAAGTTGCGCTAGGTCTTATTTTCGGGGAAACACTTATTTCCCGGGAAGCTGGCGATGTGCGGACATTAGCGCCTCCAGGTACTTAATCAGCCCAATACGCAGGACGCTGAGCTGCTCCCCTGGCAGAGGGTGAAGCACCGGGGACCACAGGGCTCCAGAGCATCCTAAGTTCTGGTCTCTCAGGCCCGAGGAAACTCCCTTCATGAGCCTGACCTGCTGACTGTGAAGCGTCCAATGTCGTCAGTGCGTCTCCATGGCCTGGAGTGGCAGTGCTGGCACCCCATCTTACAGAGGAAACGGGGGCCCTGGCTGACGCCAGCAGGCTGCCCTCCAGCAGCGTGGCCCCAGGAGGGGAGCACAGGACAGACGACTCCCTGTGCACTTCTCTGCTACACCACCCAGGCCTCGTTCCTCCTCCTCTGACGGGGACAGGGTCCTCTGGAAGGGGGGATTGCGGGGGGGGGGGGGGGGGGGGTTGGTGGAGGGGGGGCAGCAGGGGCCTGAGTGCCCAGGTGCCCGAGCCCTATGGCAGGGTTCTTGGGACAGACATATTGGGGTTTGATCCCACTCGGCCACCACTGCCTTCAGCCGGAGTCTCAGCCCCCTGGGGTCAGACCGTGAAGGCAGAATCCAGGGCACAGGTGAGTGCCATCAACCAGCAGCCCTGAGTCCCTGGGAGGCGGCGAATCGCCCATCCACAGAAAGCACCTGCCAGGGCCCACGGCCCCCTGCCAAGGCCAGGGGTTCAGACAGAGGCCTGGAAAGCGCCCTCTCAAGGAAGCCTCCGCCCGCCCACCCATGAACCTCACCTTCCAGTCCCTCCCCCACGCGGCTCAGGCGCTCCAAGCCATTGCTCCTCTGCCCGCCACTGACCACCGGCCTTTGCAGTAACTACCTGGCAGGAAGCTGTGTTATCTAGGACACAGAATCCATTCTCCCCGAAGCAATTAAGCTCACAGAACAGGAAGGGGCTGTGGATGCTGAATGGCAGCTTCTTTAGCAGGGTTCGCCACTCCTTCCAGCGGCGGCCCATCACCCCTGCCTTCCTGACCCCCAGCTGGGACGCCCAGGTCTGCAGGGAGATGGCTGCCAGAGCAGAATGCCGTACAAAGTGGGTCAGGCCGGGGTCTCAGGCAAGGGCGTTTCATTCCAGAAATTCTGAGAAAGTATGTAGAGACCTCAGCCAGAATGAATGAGGATCAGGCGGGGAGTGAGAGCCGCAAACTCCTCCCTGGTGTGGTGTCCCTGCCATCAGGAGGCCTGGGGAGGTCACCAGATCACCCAGGCTTCAGTCTCCTCCCTAAGCAAGGGGCTTACAGAGGTGCAGGGCCTGTAACCTTCCCGTGAGCGGTCCGAGGTGAGGAAACCGAGCTCAGAGGGGTGAGGGAAATGCCTGAGTCACACAGCGCCGCCCCTGGAGGGCTGGGATCATGAACATGAGTGAAGACTCAGCCCTGCCCTGCTCTGCCCCTCGGAGGCCTCACAGCAATGGACACACAGGGCCTGACGCTCGCATGCGGGATCTGAGCAGCTGCGTGGGCTCAAACCCCAGCCCTGCCCTTTGCCAGGTGCACACTTTGGACAACAACTTGCCCTCTGTGCCTGTGTGTTCATCGGGAAGAAGCAGACGGCCCCACACGTAACTGACAGGACTGCTGAGTGCACATGCAGAAGGCCAGCAAAGCAAAGAGCTCAATGAAAAGGTCTGTTCCAGCACTGAGCCATGGGATGGGACGGGATTCAGAGATGGACGCTGCCCAGCTGCCCGCCCTGCCAGCCAACACCACGGGGCCATACCTGCCCGATGCACACAACCACTGTGTATCCTCCAGGGCCGACAGCCACGCACTTGGGTTGAACGTCCAGTTTCACCACCCCCTGGCCGCTGTCAGAGAGGAGAGCACATGACTGCCACGTTTGGGGGCTCAGGTGGGTGTGTGTGCACACACTGACTGTGAGCCCGCGGCAGCTCCAGCTGCTCCGGAGGACATGCCGCTGTAACCCACGGGGTGGGGGTGGGGGTCGGCTAAACCCGGTGGGAATGACTCAGCCTGGGAGAAAGCTGGAAATCACGGCGGGGTGGAGGGTGGGGGGCTGGGGAAGGATGACGAGTGGAACAAAGGGAGTCATTTCTGCTGCTATTTAAAGTGGTTAAGTACCCACCACCCTGCTGCACCGTTACTGTCCTGTCTCCCTTCCAAAGACCGTTTCCTGGGTGCAGACAGTACTGAGCTCTGCCCCCCTCATTCCAGGCCATTTTAGAGCAACTCACTCTAAAATACATGGTGTCCCCCCAAAATGCATACATGCATTCTGAATAATTATGAAGGCCGTGATTATTAAAATCCATTTCATTTTCAAAACTGAGCTGTCAGCTGCTCAAGGGTGTATACGTTTTTGGGGACACCTGTATAATCCATTGTTTTTAATGGGTTAAAATTGTGTTCTTACTTCCAGCTGATACTATGAAAACACATTCTAGAGAAATGTGCACACACAAAAACTTCCCTGAAAACAATAAACCGAGGAAAATCGCACGTAACTGGGCCAAGCGTGGGGTCCCAAAGGCTCCGGGACAGGCCGGGAGAAGGCGGCCCGGCTGCGGCTCTGCCCGCCAAGGGTTCTCACGCACCGAGGCTCAGTGGCAGTGCGGGTGCGGGGGAAGCAATGCTGGGTCACTGGGCAGCAGGGAGAGGACTGGGCCGGAGGCCAGGTTCTGGGGTGGTTCTCGCGCTCATCCTGAGGCCTAACTGACCACAGTCCCGAAAGGGAAGTGAGCCACAGCATGCATGTCCGCTACGATGGGTACCATCTCTGGGAGGATGGTGGCGTCTACACAGCTAACTGCAGTGAGGTCTGGGGAGTGGATGCTGGAGGGGGAGCCTGCCTGTGGGCAGGGACAGGACCCCCCCTTCCTCCTAGCCCAGCCCTGGAAACTGCAGAGTAATTGTTAGAGCGACCAGCCGCTGCCTGGACCGCCAATCAAATGCCAGGGCAAACTGAGCGCGCACTGCTTCTCTCCCCCATCGCCCAGTGCCCGTTTGCCTGTGGGCAACTGCCATACGCCAGGCACCTCACCTTACAATGAGGAGCAGAGCCGAGGAGGGGCGGGGAGACCTGTGCCCCGGCCTCCCAGGCTACACATGGTCCTGGTCTGCGCGCACCTGGACTCTAACCCAGCTCCTGGCCAAGAGCCCAGCAACAGAGTGAGAGTCCAGGACGGGAAGCGAAGAGAGGAGACGCTGTGAGAGTGGTGACTGGCTGGCCCAGTGCCCTCTAGGGGCAGAGCCGCGTCCGGGGACTCCGGGCAACTCACCTATAGTCCCGCAGCGTGAGGCTGGTGTACCGCACCGTGTCGTCCATGCTGCAGCTCACCAGCTGCCCGGCCTCGTCCACGGTCATCCTGGACACCTGGTTCGTGTGGCCCTTCCCAGTGAAGGAGTCGTTCTCCCCGGTCTCAGAATCCCAGTAATGTGGGGGGCGGTTAAGGAAAAGTCGGACCTCCAGAATGGGGGGTGGGGTGCCCACAGCCAATCCCTGTCCCAGGCAGCATGCTGGCCCCGAGGCGAGCTCCCAGTGCTCATCTACGTCTGAATCTCAGAACCGTCCAGGTAGACCAGCAAGACTGCCGACCCGATGCGGGCCAGCGGGCCATTCCTAACCAACATGCCGGCCAGAGCCTCCTGCGGAAGTGGTGCACAGGAGGGAGCAGAGGTCACAGACTGCGCTGAGCGAGGCGTTAGCAGCGTAGACAGATCACAACCCAACTACGGAGGCCGCTGCTGTGTAACGGCCAGCGCTGTGCTCTGCTCCTTCTGGAACCTGCTGTGGAGCCCACGTCCAGCAGCAGGAGGCTGGCTGTGCCCGCTGCTCAGCAGATGGACACCAAGCTGCCCCAGGTAGAGCCTGGGCCGACCCATCGCAGGGGGCCATGTTCGTGCCCCGTGGCGCCAGGTGCTTGGTGCTTGGTGGTTGTAAATGACGCGATTCTTTTTTCACATCAGCGAGTGAGCCTCATTCCCAGTGCAGTTCCAGCTCCCGCTGGGAAGCTGGTGTGCGCTCTGCGCTGACCCTCCTGTGACGGGGACCCCTGCACTAGAGCCGGCAGGAAACGAATGTGTGTGCACTGACACAGGGTGGGAAGAGCGGGTGTGGGGTGGGGGGGACACGACAGGTGGGGGGCAAAAGAGAACCCAGGCCATCTGGAGGTAGGGGCTGCACACCCCACCAGGAGAGGCAGGTTCTAGCACCTTCTCTCCCCCGTGGACATATGTCCCTTTTCCCTGCATCTATTTACATGTAACGCGACTGAGGGTAACTTATCTGCCTCCCTCTCTTGGGACCGGGGGAAACTTCTGGATCTCATGAAAATGACGAAGGTCTATAGCTGTAGAGAGCTCTACTAAGAGGTCCTGAGTCCTTTAGAACCTGAGACTCAACGAGTGGACCGCTGGGAGCGGACAGGCCAGGACTAGTCACGGACAGGGGAGCACCGCTCAAGGCTACAGAGTGAGAGGTGGCCCGCCAGGTGACGGCATGGCGCTCGAGTGGCTGCTGACAGCTGGCTGGCCTTGCCTCTGGCACCACCCGAGCAGGAAGCCCCACTGCACCCGCCAGCGGCCCCACGCCAGCGCTGAGTCAAAGGATATTGATGTGTCCGTCGTGGCTCCCGGAGTAGATGTAGGACTTGCCGCCGTTTTTATGCACCGTCAGGCACTGGATTGATTTGCTGTGACCCTGTGGAGGAGGCAGGGCGGGAGCTGAGGACACGCCAGCCGGCCTCTGCGACTTCCAACTGCTCCCTCCCGACTCCCCCCAACCCCGAGTGCCCTGGCAGAGGCAGGTCTGGGTGGCAGAGGACTCGTGGTCGGGCTGCAAGTCTCCCGAGATGACAAAGTCACTGGGGCTGATGGCGGGAGAAGGCAGAGGGCAGGCCTTGGGGACCAGGGACAAGATCCGGTGGGGTCTTCCCACCCCTCTGCTCCTCCCTGCTGCCTTATCCCTGGCCAGGTACTTGAGGCCTCCACACCTCAGGCTCCATCACTTCCAAGTTTGCTTCTCACCCCTCATGCCCAGAGGGCTCCCCATGTGCAGTCCCATGTCCCAATCCCGCAGGAAGTCCAGGCCCGCCTTAGGCCACCTAGTCCTCCTCCTCGAGGTTCGTGTGGCTTCCCAGGCCTGACGGTGCTCCACTTACCCTGTCTGGGGCTCTGGGGGTCACAGCCCGTGAGCCCCTAACTGAGCGAGGCTGAACCCCTCCCGACAGGAGGAGGGGTGAGGGCCCCTGGCCTCCCACCTTGCTAAACACAAATTCCCTCAAACAACCAGCATCCTGCCACTTTGCCAGAACCCCGGGCCTGCCTCTCCCCTCCTGCCTCACACAGCAGTTGCCCCGGGCAGCCTCACCTTGATGACCCGCAGGGGTTTGCTGGGATTGTTCTTGTCCAGGTAGTTGATGTACCCGGACAGGGAGACGCTGAGCAGGTGGTCCTTCTGCCACAGGCAGCCCAGCTGCTGGTCCAGGACGTTGGAGCCCATGGGGAACGTGGTGACGACCGAGTTCACGTTGACGTCCCAAATTTTCGAGGTTTTGTCTCCGGAAGCAGAAAGCAAATGAGTGCTATCAGGACTCCAACTAATCTACTCAAACAAGACGGTGTGCACATGTCAGATCTCGGTGGGAAGTGGCCTCAGAAAGCAGCCCGGCCACAGCCCCCACAGCTGAGCAGGGAGAAGCAAAACCCGAATGGGGGGCATGCTGTGGCAGGGAAGGGACGAGTGTCCAGGCCATGTCCCCCGATGGATGTGACCCCGAAGCTCTGGACCATCCCCCGACTCTGAAGCTTCTAACGCAAATCCGTTCGGTGAATGCAAACCGGCCCTCCCACGACCACAGACGCAGCCACGGACACGAGCCCATACTCACAGCATAGATGCCTCCGTCGTGAGCCTTGCCCCCGCCTAGGGTGCACACGCTCTCTCCCGTCTTCCCGTCGTAGATGTGTATCTTTCAAGAGGGGGAGGGGGGTTACTGTGCATGCCGAGTGCTCTTCCCGATCATTTGTCAGTTCCCGACCGACTCAGAATTCTCTAAGCTCTGCTCCGTTAAAGAGGAGACAGAGCCGAGTCTCCGGTGCTTAGGGGACAGCCCGTTCCAGGTGGGAGAGGGACATTCCTACGTCCCCATGCCGAGATGGCTTTAGGGAGTTTGTTCTGAACAGTCACCCAGGACGATCAGAGGAGCCCCCTCCACAGCCCCAGCCCGGCCCGGCCCGGCCCTCACCTGGCCGTCAGCGCTGGCCGTAGCAAACCTGTTCCCGTCAGGGGAGAAGCGCACGCAGTTGACGAAGCGGCTGTGGTCCTGCGGAAAGGGGACCGTTATCCACCCGCGGACAGGGGTCCGGGAAAGCTCTCTAGGAAGCACAGTGCCTGCCTCTCAGCTTCTGCTGCTAACCGAGCCACAGCCACAGGAAGGCCTCGGAGCTCCCGCTAGTGAGGGCTGGCAGGGCTGGCTCTGTTCATGCCTCATCCATCTCTGCCTGGAGGGCCCCTGAACATCCCAGCCAAGGCTCCGTCTGCTACGCCATGTTCCCTCAGCTGTGGGGCAGAAGCACCTCTTCCCTCTCCCCCGGAGCAAGCTCAGGCCCAAGCCCGTGCCTGCTGTGATGGTGAGCTGCCTGCCCGAGGCCCCAGGCCTGGCCCACGCCCAGCTCCGCTGTGGGGTTTGTGCTTCTGGCTCCTGTGTCCGCTGACCCCTGCTCTAAGGGTGCGTGCTGTTCCCTTCAGTCCAGGCATGTGGAGTGGGAGGACAGGGCTTCCCAGCAGGGGCACCACCCACTGAACCAAAGTGAGATTGAGTCAAAGTTCCAACCCGGGCTCTCTGTGCCCTGCCTGCACTGGCACACCCACCACCTACCACTGCGAGAGCCTCGGGACTCCAGGCACCTGTTACAGAGACACCAGACCCGAGAGGCCAGGCTGTGAGGAGCCCGTCTCCAGTTTCCCGTGCACAGCTCTTGGCTGAGCCAGCTCCGGGCCGAGCAGGAGGCTGGCAGGCAGGGGCCCTGGCGGGGAGCCACTGAGGTCAGATTCTTAACTCCTCAGGCCACCTGTAGCCACTCTGCTGTCCACTCCCGGCGGGAAGGAAGCCAGCCACATGGCAGGGTCCACCCCGCCCTCCCTCGGACCAGCGATGCGCGAAGCCAGGACAGGAGGGTCTGAGACACTGCCTCCTCATTCCCCCCAGTCCTTAGGGCGGCCCTGAGGTGAGAGGAAAGCTCTGAAAACAAACCACGGCTCAAACTGGACATCTGGCCAGACGGCCAGTTCTCTCGTCCCCCAGGTTTTCTCCAGAGTGGACAAGGGAGGAGGGCTGGGCCAGGGGGCTCGGGACCTTGTGACTAAGAGGCTTGTCAGGCGGGGAAGAGGGGGCAGGGCTCCCTCCCTAAAAACTGTGAGCTCGCCACAGCAGAGCGGGTGCACTGCCCCTCTGCCCTGGGCGTAGGAACAGGCTGTGGACTAGAGGCACTGAGCCACTGGTGGGTTGTCATAAACTGCAGTTTCACTGGTTCCCTGAGAATGAAGTGCCCCCCATACAAACCGGCTCACTGAAGTCGGAACGTCCTCCTGAAAGGAGTGCCGGGCGGCCAGACCCTTGGCCCCCTCCTGACTGATGATCCCATTAGGGTGCCATCGCCTCTCCTTCGAAAGGCCGCCCCCCAGCACGGTCCCGTCTCCTCAGTCACAGCACTCAGCTGGCCCCGATGCGGCGGGACACGGCCCACGGCAGGTGCGTATGTGCCCCTGCAGACCGGGGACGATGCAGGCTCCGGGAGGGGCCCACAGACCAATGTCACCCCCACTCCAAGTCCCGGTGCCGGGCGGCTTTAAAATCCCCTCAGCCTCCCTTGCAATTGGGGCCAAGTGTCCAGAGGAAAGGAGACTGCTGGGTGCCCTGAAATAGCCATTAACCTAAAGAGGGAGGGGGCCCACAGTCCACTAGCCAAAGAGGGGCCGAGACAAAGGAGGAACGGCCAGGTAGCATCTGGGGCGGGTTCCAAACTTGAGCATCTCACGGCCACCCAGCCTGGCCGCCCCACCCAATCAGCCCGCTGGGGTCACAGCAAGAGCCTGTGGGCTGGCTCAGCCTCCGAGGTCCCTCCTGCTGACCGTTAGTCACATCAGCATTTACCGAAGCTCCCAAATCCTCCTTGTCATTGCCGCGGCCCTCACTCCTCCCTCTCCGCACTGAGAAAACGGAGGCGGAAAGCCATTAGGTGATGGATAAGTCATGCACCCTAGTCCATGCTATTGACAGGATGCCGGGCTCCACAGCCTGATTCCACGTGCACAGGTGGACTAGCCACACTCAGGGGTCCCCTCTGGGAGTCCTCCCTGGTCTGAGTGCCTGGAAAGAAACAGGCTCAGACACCTGTGCCCACCACCACCTCCTCCCTTCAGGGCTCTGAGACTCGACTCCCTGACCTGGGAATGCCACCTGGCCCTCCCTCAGCCACTGCCCCTCTCACCCCTGACTTCCCCTCGCTCTGCAAGGTGTCCCACGCCCTTCACCTGCCTCAGCTGCGCCGAGAACAAAGGAGACCGCCCTCCTCCTGCCTCTCCTGGCCCCAAAGGGACAAAGGCTTGTTCTAATCTTCCTTGGGCCACTCGCTGTCCAGCTAGCCACCTGCTGCCAGCCAAGGTCAAGCCTTTGTGCCAGCCAGGAGCACGTGGGAAGCTGGGACTGAGACCCCACAACCTGGGACATTTCACCACCAGGGCATTTACAGCGTCTAATTCCTCTCCTGTGCCCCTTTACAGGCGTGTCCCTGCCCCTCGCCTTTCCCGGGAACACGCTGGGACAAATCTGAATGTCTCTGGAGGCCCACCTCCTGTCCCCTTGGTGGCTCAGCTGGTCTCAAGATGGCACAACCAGAGAGCAGGCTGACGCCAGCCCTGGCTCCCTTGCTAACACAACAACTGCAGGCCAGGATGCTGTCACATGGCTGGTAGGTGCCCGGGACTCCCACCCCGGAATGCACCCTGCATCCCAGACGAAGCCCAGCCCTGTGCAGGGCCCCTCCTGCTGGAACTGGAACATCCACGCTGTCCTAGTGTGGACCATGTGGCATGTCCTCACAAACCCCGTTTTCCGTCTACAGACCAATGGTGTGCGCCCGTGACCTCTGCCACCCGCATCGAACAGGTTTAGGCTCCACTGGCTTCACTGGCACTCTCCAGAGAAGCCCACTTACGCCAATGGTAAACTTGAACTTGAACGGTGGCCCCTCGAAGAAGGCGGCACAGTTATCGTCACTGCCCGTCGCCAGCCGGTACGGCCTGGTCTGCTTGATGTCCACGCTGTTGATGACTTTGTTGTGCCCCGTGATCTCGCCCACAGAAGAGCCGCTGTCCCACAGGAAGACGGCTCCAAACCTTTAGCCAACGAGAGGACAAGGAATCAGTCCCGAGAAGCTGGTGAAGACACGGGCAGCTGAGTGTCCAAATCAGCCCCGGCTCATGACCGTACTTCACATTTTCATCCAAATCACACACTTACGACACTGCGCTTTTAGCTCTACACAGTATGTGTCAAAAGCATGGAGACCACGTGTCTGGGAAGGGGCTGGAAGTCCGTGTTTGTGCGGCCCAAGGCCAGCAAGCCTCTCTAAGAAAGCTCCCGCCACGTTAGTTTCCTTCCTGGGCAGGACACTAAATACACCTGCATCCCCTCTAAGAGGAGACGATGCCTTGCTTTCGGCTGGCGTTCTGTGAAAATGTCTTGTTTTGTTTCTATTTGCAATCTAATGAAAAAGAAATCATTAAGACCAACAAGAGTGATTTGAAAGTCCAGCTGGTGTGGCTCAGTAATTGAGCACTGACCCACGCACCGAGAGGATGCCAGTTCAATTCCTGGTCGGGCACATGACCAAGTTGCATACTGGTGGTGCAGGAGGCAGCGGATCGATGATTCTCTCTCATTGATATTTCTACCTCTCACACCATCTCCCTTTTCCTCTCCCTCTCCCTGCCTCTTTCACTCAAATCAATAAAAACATTAAAAAAAAAAAAAAAAAAAAAAAAAAAAAAAAAAAGACGACCTGAAACTCTACGGAAGAATTGATACCTACCACGATACGCATTAAAAAGCGGCTCTCAATAAGGGACAGGCATATGCCTGCCAAGTTCAAGTCCTGGAGGGCAGCCATGATTCCCTAGAGGAAACGCTGACTGCACTGGGAGTAAGAAAACCAGGGTCGTCTCTGGTCACTAGACTTGGAAGTGCAGCAGCCACTGAGGGACACCTATTCAGGGTCCACTCACCCCGTCTCCTTAGTGAGGGGCCCTGGGTGATGTGCCCAGTTGGGGAAATGTCAGTCTCCCCTGTAGCTGCTGGGAAGGAGGGACCCAATCCTGCTCGGTAAGAGCTGCATCTCGTTCACTTCCTCCTTCTGCTGCTTCCTGCTGCTGGAAGCGGCATGGTGATGGCGGGAGTTCTCGGACTCCAGAGGCAGGCAGAGGTGCCGTGACCCGAGACAACCCCAAGGAGCTCACCCAGTTACACGTCACTGAGTCCCACCCTTAGGGAGCCAGTGGCCCGGACCGCTCACACCTGTGAGGAGGCTCAGAGCCTGGCACCTATGGGGATGGAACACACATTCATCCTAGTTGGCACACTGAGGCCACTGCGCCCCTCCCACCAGGGACACTGGAAAGATGATCGGGGGACATGGAGGGGACGGCCAAGGCCAGACTCACTTCTCCCTTCCTTCCCCGACTACGGCGATCCTCTTACTGTCTTCCGTCCAAGCAATGTCCTTGATCTTCCCAGCGAAAGGCTGGTACTCGTACTTGAGGAGGTGCTCCTTCTGTGTGGTGTCCCAGATCCGCAGCTTCCCGGACACATCTGCGGACAGAAGGGCGGCGGGAGCCCGGTCACCACGGGTCACCTCCTGCAGCTGGCCAAGGCCGCCCGGGAGGGGTGTGGTGTAGGTCAACGATCCCCAGCCACTCGCTGACCAGCACTTGCTGTCTCCACGGGACCCGCTGCTGGGTGTGTGCCCTCACCAGATGCCAACATCTGCATAGGCAGAGGAAGTTCCGGGACACGGGTGGCTAACCCCAGGCACCAGACGCAGCCTCACTTTATGACCATCTTTCTTTCCTGTAGGGGACCTAAATGGCACACGAGCCTCGATAATTAACTTCCCCAACACTGGGGACCGAAGTTCTTCCAGTGCACAGGAGAGTATACCAGCGACACCTGCCTCTCTCCTACACGTGACTAACAGAATCAGCCTGGTGCGTGCAGGCGTGCGTGGTGGCCCCCAGGGGGACCTGTCGACCCCACTCCCTCGAAGCCCCACTGCACCCCGGGCAGTCAGCAGCCTCACTCATCAGAGCACAGCCCAACCCACAACTCAGCTGCAGTGTGAGTAAGCCTTATGGAGATGTACAGGGAGGTGCGGGAAGGAGGGCTGCTACAGACAGAACGGGGTGCCAGGCCTCGGATCAGTGACAGAGTAACAGCCCCTCCCTTCCTGCCACGAGCCAGCCACCACATTCCAAGCACCAACCCCCACAAACCCCGCCCCTCCCGCATGAGCACTGAATCCCCATATTCGCAGGAAAATGGAGGACCTGATGCTAATTCTGGAGGCTTAACTCCTTAGCCGGAGGGGTCTGGGAAGCCCTCCCAGCAGGTGAGCAGGCGCCCTGCTGCAGGACACACTTCAGCACCCAGCTAACTGGACAGCGGTCCCAGAGACAGCTTCTGTCCTGTCCGGTGGGGCCCGGGGAGAGAGCTGCACACCTCGGATGCAGGCCTGCCGTGCTACTCTGGGGCCCTCAAACCCATAACCTTGCCACCACGGGGGGACGTGCCAGGGGAGGGGTGTCCCGAATATGAACGAGTGGACAAGCATAAAGTCATCAAACCAGCCCTGGGACACCTCAGGGTCTTATTAGGGGATAGTCATTAGTCATGAGTTAGCTGAGGCTCCACAGGAGACCCCACATTGAGGGCAAACATCTGGCATCTAGTTCAGCTCTGGGACAGACACACTGCCGCCTCAGGCACATCACTACCTGAGGGGCTCCCGTGGCCCTGGTCCGCTCTGGTCCCCCAAATCTAGAAAGACAGCCTGGCATGTCACCTGAGGGAACTTCCAAAGAACCTGGACTCTTTAGGTCCCTTCGCTGAACAAACTGGCAGGCAGTGTCAGGGAGGGGTTCGCATGTACCCTGGGCACACAGCAGGCTGCCCAGCACCTGCGCTGAGCCACGGAGAACACAGCCACAGCGCAGACCCAGGCACCCACCTGCGCATAGGCTGCATCCCGCTCCCCCTTCCCCCGGGCTCCGCACGTGGCCGACGAGTGCTCCACAGCCCAGGTTCCACCCCAAGCATGCAGTCCTCCCCCACCGCCTCCCGGCCAGACCAGCAGCCTCCGCCAGTAGCCCCACTTGCTCATAAAGTTCTTTTTCAGAAGCAACTGTAGCCAGAAAAACACATCGGGCAGGAACCAGGCGCCCGGGCCCTGTCTGACGAGGGCAGCCCTGGTGCGGTCACCAGAGAAAGATGGAGTGCCATGGGTGCCAAGCCTCATACTGAGTGCACAGCAGGTACCAGGAACATTAGCCAGAGAGCACAGCGGACAAGAGCCTGCTTGAGGTCTCCAGGGGGACAGACAATAAATACACATCCACCATGTATAGGCTGCACCTGAACCCTCTGCTCAGGATGGCTCTGCTGCCTGGCCTCTAGGTCCCTCCCCTGAGCAGCTCACATCCTTCTCTGGGCTCGGCCTCACTCCCGAAAGCCTGTCCCATGCAGCCTAAGCCACCTGGGAATCAACGCCTGGGTGCCCGGGGACCGGGCACGGGCACAGACCACCACCTCTAGGAGGGAACTGGAACTGCCCTGAAGATGGCGCCACACTGAGAAGCATCGCGTGGCACTGTGGCTCCTGAAGGTAGACATGGACTGCTTTGCCCATGGCTGGGGCCTGGGCCCTGGCGTGGGCTTCCTCACACACCAGGCCTTCTGGAGGTTCAAACATTCAGCAAATGGGGACCAGCCAGACATACAGGAACCTAAGACCCAGCAGAGGGCTGGCACCCATCTGGGAGTGAGCGGCAGGTTTCCCGGGCCCTGGCACCCCCGCCCCACCCAGGCCCTGCAGGTACCAGGAACGTTAGCCAGAGCACAGCGCTCCCCCAGCTTCCTCCTCCTCCACACTGCACCCCCAGCCCCCACCCGGTTTAATTCAGCCCAGGCGCTCCCTTCCTCTCTGCAGGAAGCGTGTCCTGTCTCCAATCTGGGCAGAGGACCAGCGCTGTAGAGTGAATGTGATCTCCTCCCAAGAGCACCTGCACCGGGGCAGCCCCAGCTCCCCGGCTCCTCCATTCAATGAGGGCGTTTGTGAGACAGTATCCAGCTGACCCCTCTCTTGTGTACACTGTCCTTGCTGACTCGGCACTACTCTGAGGCCACTGATTACTGTCTGAGCACCACGCCTGGGGACCCAGGCGGGGCGGGGCAGGCCTGGCCTCGCCAGTGATTCAGCAGCCAGGCTCCAGGCTCCGTGTTCCAGGGAGAAGCGCTGCGCCAAGCAGGCAGTGGGGCCCTTCAACCACATCCTCTGTCGAGAACACACGCTTTTAAAGGTACCAGGGCCAAATCTTGGGGTTTTAACGAAGAGACACTTCGCTGGCAAGCTAGGCCAGAATAAAAAACCTCACAGGGCTAAAATAAATCACAGGATGGGAATTAGATCAAGTTTTACAGATGGAGTTAGAGTAGGTCAAAACACAGAAATCATTCAGAGCCCAGTACGTGCCAGATTCCTGGCCAAGCCCTCCACCTACAACCCCGGCAGGCCGGCTCTGGTGTGTGCCGGTTTCGGTGACAGACTGCTGTCAGGTGCCCACTCTGCAAGAGCTGTCCTAGTGTTTTACACTCATTGCACACTGGACCCGTCCCAACCGACCTGGTGGTGCTCGCAGCCCCGTTCACAGAAGAGAACACTAAGGCCCAGGAAGCTGCCCAGCCTGGGAGGGTGGTCCCGTCAAGGGCAGGTCCATGCTGGCCTGCCACTCCCAGAGCAAGAGCGGTGTAGACTAAACAGCCACCAGCGAGTTTGAATCCTGGCCCTTCCCTACTCGGCCGTTAGTTCCTTCAGCACTTTGGTTCTGCCTGTCCCTCTCTGGGGACGGGAGGCGGCCACATCAGCTCCTTCACCTGGCTCTCCCTGCGGCCCGAGACAGGCCAGGCACAGGCTGGCTGACAGTAAACAGCTGCTGAGTGGGAATGAATGGGGTGTGGGGCCAGGGTAACTCACTGTAATTTCTGCGCCTCCCTTTCTCATCTGCAAATGGTAAGAGATCTACCTCAAAGGATTAGGTGAATAAAGACAGTGCCCGAGAAGGTACGGATCTGCGTGCCCGGCGCTCACTGAGCCGGCACCCAGCTGGGGAGCAAAGGGTCAGAGAATGAGAGTTCTGACCGAGGCGGAGGCGGCATTGTGCTCGGTCCCAGGAAAGGAGCAGCAGGAAAGGTAACACAGACAAAGCTAGTTCAGAAACACACACACACACACACACACACACACACACACACACACACGCAAGCTCCAATGATCAGGATGGAGCAACGGCAAAGAGCACGCCTCACAAGGGCACGGCTGCTGACCTTGGAGGCTGGAACTAGCCAGCGGGCTGCAAGCTAGAAAGCAGTGGAATGGGGCTCTGCAGTGGCTCCTACTTTTCATGTCAGCCCCAAGAAACTGGTCACATGGGTCCCCCCTGCCACCCTCCCACCACCCTTCCAAGGCAGGAGCCCAGCCTGGCCCCAGGGCCACCACCGGCCACACAGACACAGATACCTCCAGAGGCGATGTAGAATCCGCTGGGCGCGTACTTGGCCACCACCACCTGGTGGGCATGCTCCGTGTAGATGTCAGCAAGGGCCGGGTTCTGCGGGGAGGAGACCGAGTGAGCACAGGCATGTAGACGCAGTCACACTACTTTCCGCTCTCCCAGTGGATGAATTTGGGGGGAAATGACACACCCACAAAACTTATAGTAAGTCAGAAGCACCATAAAGAAAATCCCAGAAATGTACACTCCATGGCCTGCCGCTCTTGGTGATAGAATTCTAGCTCAGTTTACCTCTTTCTCTTTTGTCTATGGTTACAGAAGTCAAGGTAATGTTCTCTCCTATGAAATATGCACATGAAATAGAAGGTTCATTTTTAAACAACCGGATCCTAATTGCCCCCATCTATGCAGGCTGCAGCTGCATTCTTCAGTCAAGCTGGTCTCGCCTGCTCAGAGCCAGCTCTGTCCCGGCTGCCACACAGGGCAGGACCCAAAACAGGGCCTCAGCTGCGAGGAAGGAGAACAGAGCGGGGCACATGGCTGGAGGCCCTACTCGGATCCCCACCCGCTGTGTAGCACGGAGTGAAGGCTGGCTGGGTTCTGCAGCAAGGAGATGGCCAGCACCTGGGCTAGGAGCAGCAGACTTACTCAACAGTGAGGTCTTAACATAGTATTTACTAGAAGTAGATCCCCCCTCCACCCCAACACACACACACACACACACACACACACACACACACACACGAGGCCTCAGCAAACCTGACACGTGAGATGCTCCCCACAGCTGTGCCTGCTTTCAGGGGGAATAAAGACTAAGCCACTGAATTCCTGACACCCGCTGTCAGCTTTCTATGAATCACGTGTTCTTTGAAGATGGGCAGCTTCCCACAGACCAGGCTGTGGACACAGGTTCCATCCAAAAGCAGCTGCTGCAGGTGCCACGAACTTGACCCCCAACCTGCTCCGACCATCTTGTAATCGCCCTTCCCTCATCTCCTTGCAGGATCAGAGGCCTGCATTCTGCTCAACCTCCTGGTCACAGGATCACTGCACACCACACCCCATCCAACCAGAGGCCAGAGAACACCCTGAATTCTAGCCCCATCAACCACTGGCCACCTTCCACCAATCCTGGCAGCCCCAAGTCTCTGTAAACGCTGTTCCCTCCACCAGCAACATTTCTCCCAGGCTGCTAACACTACTCATGCATCAGACCTAACTGAAGAGCCACCTCCTCCATGAAGCCTCCTGTGCTGGCCTGCCCTCTCTTTTGTGCTTCCCAAGCATTCCACATGCCCCGGAGGCAGCTGTGACAGGCACAGCGGTCCCTCACGTCCACGTGCATTTATCTCTTCAGCCACCACAGCGGTCAGCAAACAGCGGGTACTCAATCAATGCTTTCTGAAGGACAGGAACTCTGAGCAGCCCCCCCTCGGATCCCATGTCTGCCCCTAAGACTCAATACTTATTATTATGTGATGAAGTAGGCATTTGATATAGGTGGCTCATAAGTTAATTGGCCTTGGAATAAACATTCGCTAATGAAATTAGAAGCTATCAGGTATCCAATAAGGATATCATGAATGGCAGATACACAAATGAAAAGGCGCTCAGCATCACTAGTCCGCTGGGAAATGCAAATCAAAACCACAATGAGATACCACTATGTACCAACCAGAACCAAGAGAAGTGAAAGATGTTAGCAAGCGTGAGGGGGTGGGGAGGGGAGCACTGGCATTTTTGCTGGGGGAATTTAAAACCGCCTGGCTGGTTATTTATAGTTAAACACAGACTCCCCAACAAGAACCCAGCAATCCGCTTCCAAGAGAGAGACGCACACAAAGGTCCTGTGCACGGAGTCGGAGGTGGACACTAGAACCCCACAAAGGTCTCCAGGAGAAACGAGCTGACCGGCCATCAGGAGGAACAGCCATCACCTCTCCCAACTGCGAGGATGCACCCAAACACAGCCAGGATGCTTTCTGTGAAATCCTAGCAAAGGAAACCTCAAGCGACATGAAGCAGACGAGTCCCTGCTAGGGGCTGGGGGCGGAGGGGGTCACCTGACTGCCCAGGGCAGAAGGGGCTTTGCAGAACCACTGGAATGTTCCATGTTATGGATTCTGGGGGCGATCACATAACTATGTATAGCTGAAGGAACTCAAGTTGGACATACTTAAAATGGAGGGATGTCTCTCAAATCTAAATCACCCCTCAACAAAAGATGCCTAGTGTCCATCAGATGTCTCCTATTCCAGCCGCTTCTGCCAGAGCAGCCCTCACTCACACCCGACACCGACAGGCTCCCTCACAAAAAAGCTGCCACACTGTGTGCACAGCCATCACTCCAGTCCCAGTCCCAGCCCCACCACCACACCACTGAGGGCCTCCTTCAGGTGTCTGCTGCTAGGATGACTGAGGTCTTACACCCACACGGAGGGCACTACCACATGGTGGGCACCTACCCACCCACGCTGGCACCCCCAGCCTGGAGACCTGGTCACCACCCACACTGCATTTAAAAAGGGTGGGCTCCGCAGAGGCCTCTGGGGAGGTAGGGACCCCCTGGGAGGAGGCTGTCCTAAGAATGCCTTCCCCTAAATGGGCAGGGCGTCTGCGGGCACAGGGCATGCAAACTCCCAAGGTTGTCCCGGGCAGGCTCAGCACTGGAATCCAGGCTGGATGAGACATCCCTCTTCCAAAGAACACCGGCCAGTGGGGGTGGGGAGTGGGACATAGGAGTCACCGGGCCGAATATGACTGCCTGAGTCAGCGGCACTGCTCTGCTCACAGGGAAGCTGGCCACCGGAGGCAGAAATGACACCACCCTGTCCCCAACGTGTCCTGCTGCAGTTCTGGCTCATTCCACATCAGCGGTGCCCACTCAGGCCTTCCAGAGGCAGCCTCCCTCCCCCTCCCCCGACTCCCCTGCTGCCTGGAGGGGAAAAAAGCAGGATTTGGGATGAGTAGTGATTTGAGGATGAGCTCTGAACCACAGAAAATGAGTCGGGGGGAGGGAAGCCAAGTCTGGGAGCACCTGGAGCACTCGCTGAGGCAGGTCTCCCTCTCCCATCCTCAGGACACCTCCAGAACAGGGCCCTAGTGCCCACCCAGAGGTGCGGGGGCTGGGCACGCCCCTGGGACTTCCTTCCTGTGCTTGCAGTCAGAAGCCCTGGCACTAGAGGCTCTGTGGGTGCCACGTGGATGTGGGCAGAGGCTGACGGAGCCACTAGAACCCGTTGCCTTGCCTGCTGCCCCAACCCTGCCCCTCATTCCGCAGCCCTGCCCAGTCTTATAACAGCTCCCGAGCCCACCTCCTCGTTGTGCCCGACCCAGATTCTGTCTATTTCTTCCCATTCCCCCTGGAACCATGAAAATATATTTTAAACCGATCTTTCCTTCCGTCCATCCACCGTGGTCTCTGAGTCGAACTCTGATCACCTCCTTCCCTCCTTAGAATCCCTCCACAGGGACTGCAGGACCTGAGCCCACTCCTCTCAGACCCCCGAGGCCCCTTCCTGCCCAGGACCCACCTCAGGGCTGGAACAGGAGCCGTCTGGCCCCACACTCCGTCCCACATCCCACAGGTTCCCCTGCTGAACTCAGGGCCCAGCTCGGGGCCTGCCTGACGCTCAGCCACTTCCCCAAATCCCTGGGCTGGAGCCACGATGCTGAGGACTGAGCAGTCACTACTGTGACGAGACGCAGGCCCACGGGCCGCCCCTGGCCCACCCCATCTCACCAACAAGGTGAGGATATTCCCACCACGCGGTTGGAGGGCAGGTTCAGGCTCCCACTCAGAGCTTGTCCCTGCCTTGAACCTGTGCAGGGGGCCTTCCCAGGAGAGTGGCTACTGAGCCACCCTGCACCCCTTTCACATTTCTGTCCTGGTGCTGAGCTAGGGGACAGAGGTCACCAGAGCATTTTCCAGGAAAGACTGAGTGACGGCCTGGTCACAGAGCACGGCAGCCTTTCCCTCAGCTCCTGGCCGGTGAGCCAGATGGGCTGAGAGGTGGGGAAGGCTGATGGGCCACCCGCTGCTGAAGCGGCCTGACAGGACACAGCTCACGAGGGATGTCTGCGCTCGTGCGGCTGCTGGTTCCCTGGAGCAGCTGGAGAAAGCCTGGGCGCCCTGCACTCTGGCCAGGAAAGGTGAGCAGGAGTCCAGGAGGGCTGAGTTTCCTGAGTCCTGGCTCTCTGAACACTCCCAGCTCCTGAGCAGTTTCGGGTAGCGAATTAACAATCCACAGGGCCCTCTGTCCATGGGTGACTAAGGCCAAGTTCAAATCACCGCCCAATACCCAGCTCCAAAGCAGCCACACACAAACCTGTGCTTCTATAGACCCGCAGGCCTGAACGCAGAGGCTAAGCCCCTCCTACCACGTGACCTCAAAGGACAAGAATGGATTCCTTCCCTCCGGGATCCAGTCTGGGCTGGCACTGGGGACCTGCTGAGCACTGACCCCCCACCCCTGAAAGCCTCCTCCTTCCTGCCTCCCAGCTCAGCCCCTCCCAATGAAGTAAACCACCCTTAGCCATGACCCATGATGACCCACTACACACACGACTGTCATCTCCCCACCTGTCTTCCCACCCCTCTGCCTGCCCTGGGCCTTGAGAGTCAGGACGGAAAACTGGGAGCAGCTGCTCTGGTTCAAATCCCAATACCTCCTGGGCCTCAGTGCCCGTCTCTAAGGCAGCAGCCCCCCAATAGGGGGCCGTGAAGACCAAGGCAGACAGGCACTGTCACAGCCCAGGCGGCCTTCCAGAGATGCTTGTGAATTGGCTCAGTTAAACCTCACCAATGCTGGAGGCCCGACACTGGAGGCCCGACGCACAAAACACGTGCAAGGGGCTCGGCCCTCACAGCCCCGGCTTCGTCCAGAAGGTCATCCGGAAGGTTGTTCGGCTGTCTGGTCTAATTAGCACATTATGCTTTTATTATTATAGACGGTTCTTACTGATATGGAAAGTGTTCTAAGTGCCTGGACACTGCCGGGCACAAACTGTGCCCATCACAATCCAGCTCGACGCCAGAGGTGGTGCACGGGGCTGCGCTGCACTGGAGTCAGCCAGTGCTCCGGAGAACGGGCCGGAGCGTGGCACTCGCTCCGTCTATGGCAGAGGACGGCCCTTCTCCGGGTGAGGCTCTGGGAAGCGGAAGCTGCCGCACGCCAAGTAACCAAAGCGTGAAATCCAGGTCTTCCCAAGGCTGCAGCATCATGAAGCTGGGAGATTCCACCAGAGACCTCACTCACGCCATCTGTAAGAAGCCCTGCAGGGAAGGGTGTGGGGGCAGCTGGATGGTGGGGAAGGGTTGGGACTGGATGGGGGTCTGAGTGAGCATCTCCAGCCATTTTAGGAGGAGCCGACTTCCACACACAGAACGAAATGTGACAGCTCTCCGCTGGCCTCAAGCGCGCGGCTGCACCCTTTCTTTTTATCTCAAAGAAGGGCTTTGATGCCTCTCTCCACAACTCCACCAGCAGGGCAAGCGATGTACGAAACCGCCCTGCAGGGGCCCATGATGGTGCCAAGAGGACACAGTCAAGCTTCTTCCAACCTCGGTGTCAGTGTAATCCCGGCTAGACTCTCCCCATCCCTGCTGTCTCAATCTTCCTGGAGAACTCTTACTCATCCTCCAAAACCCAACTCAAATATGCCCTTGCTCTAGAGAGTTCCTTGCTGCCGGGGCACAGATGGCTCTTCCCTCTTGTTCCCAAATCAGTATGAACACTGTCCTTTCCAAGTGCTTAACCTAGCGCAGTGGTTTGCTACTCTGTTGACTGAGTTTGCCGACCACTGGCACGGGGGCTTAATCACAAGGAACAACAGCCTGTAATTATTGGAATCGAGAGTCTAGGTCAGTGGTCAGCAAACTCAGTCAACAGAGCCGCAGTTTGCCGACCACTGACCTAGTGCAGTAGAGTGTTCTCTATCAGGGTTCCCCAATGGCCACTGCTGACACTTGGGGCCAGAGCAGTCTTTGCTGCAGGGAGGTCCTGAGCACTGTGGGATATCTGGCAACATCCCTTAACTCTACCCACTAGATACCAGTAGCACAAAAATGCCTCAGACCCTGCCAAATACCCACCAGGGGGTTTAGTACTTTGCTTACTCTGCTGATTGAGGTGTGGAGAGATGCATCAAAGCCCTTCTTTGAGATAAATAGAAAGGTTGCAAAACCGCCCGAGAACCACTGATTTCAATCTTGGGCGCTGTGGCCGTGGGCAGGGCTCAGCAAGCCAAGGACTGAATGTGTGGGAAGCATCAGGAAGCAAGCACTGGCTGTACCGGCTGACAAGCACTTGCTGAGGGATGCATTAATCGGTGAGCAGCCTCTTCATTGGCTGCCCTGCCGCAAATCTCAGACACAGGGTACTCCGTCTCCTGCAGAACCTTCGGGACGCTCTCGAGGGCTGCACCCCTGTCCTGCGTGTTCCCCCGCACCCAGTGCTCCAGTCAAACCGTCTCTCCAGGCCCCGAAACGCCGGGACCCTCTGGCCACCCACACTCCACCTGCCTGCACCACGGATCCAGGTGTCTTCCGGAGCCCGCAGGCGCTCTGAGCCTCCTGTGCCGAGTAGCCCCCACGCCACTGCTTCTTCCTTGTCAGTCCCAATTTGAAGTTCCTGAGATGGCTCTCCCTGCGAGACTGAGCACTGAGGACAGGCTCTTGGGGCCTCTGCCTGGAGCAGGCCTCTTACCGCGCCTCAGCCACAGGGCGGACAGCGCAGGAGCACCGGCGCTAAGGCAGCCAGTCCAGTGCGGTGCTGAGAGCAGCCGGAGGAGCCAGGCGCCAGCAGGGAGCCCAGGCCGGGCTGCCTGTTCTGTACCCCGGAGAGAAGATGGTGGCCCGGATGAGGGGGGCAGCAGAGGAAGGACTGAAAACTTGTCAGATCCTGAAGTTGCTCTGAATAGCTTCCAGAGGGTTCCGAGAGGAATGAAATACGATGTGGAAGGGGAGGGGGAGCCAAGTGCAAGGTGCGAGGCCTGAACAGCTGAGGAACTGCATGGCTCTTCTGGGGGAGGGGCACATGGGAAACCCTAACATGGTTTCAGGCATGTTACGGGTGAGATGCCAATCAGACTTCCAGGTCCTTCTTTCTCTACTCTAACCGCCGCCTTCCCACCTGGTCCGTGCAGGCGGATGAGGACTTCTCTCTCACAGGAGTATCTGTCCCAATAACCACCATACCACTTTACTGGACAACCAATGGCCCCCAATCACACAGGCCCACGTGCCCCCTTCACACCCAGCACAGGGACAGCCACAGCAGCAGCACCCGTGCTGCCCTGGTCCTGCAGAACCCTACAGAGATGGGAAGTGAAAGCACAGGCATCCTGAGAGAGAGGATGTCGTGTAAGCAGTGAAGACCTCAGAAGGCAGAGCGTGGGTTTCCAGGCCGGGGAATGCCTCTGTGGCTCGTCCATGGCTGTGACCAGCTTCTCCATCGGAACCAGCTCCTTCACCTTACTGAGCCTGACCCCCTTCAGAGCGAGGGGCCCACGGCGGGGCTGGAGGAGCTGCTGCAGTGTGAGAATCCTTCACGGTACCAGACACAGCAGGTACACCTCATGTGAGGCTGCATCTGGACTGGACATAGGCGGCCATGATGTGCCTGCCTTGTCAGGGGCAAGCCCATGGGGAGCACGGTCTGCATCCCTGAGACGCTTTCGACTATTTGCCAAACCCCAAGTGACTACTTAGGCCACCTCAACGTTTCTCAAAATGTGAGGCCCTCGCCCTGGTGACCTCTCGATCAGCACGATCTAAGCTCTTGGCAATGTTTCCCCTCGGTCTGAGCGAGACCAGCTCAGCTTTCTAGGAACCCGTGTGACTGGCAGAGTAGCTGCTAGTACCTTCAAAGCACTTTCACAGCCGCCCACCTCTCCCGCGAGGTGCCCAGCAGCCCTGGGCAGACGCTGCCAGCGGAGCTCCGCTTTGCAGCAGAGCGATCGCGACGGCTGGCTTCCCCGGAGGTGGGGGCAGAGCCAGCAGCACCCGACCCAGGAGAGGCCTCTCCCCTTACAGACAAGGAGCCGAGGCCCAGGGCCCCTCATTCCCTCAGTGGGTTGTGAGGTTCGTAAGCACGTCAAGACCAGCAACAATCCCAACCCACAGAGCGTCATCGCTCACTGCGATGTGTGTGAACTTAAGTTGACACCCTGGGAGCATTGCCAAGCAAAACCACCCACCCAAGCCCACTCAGAACCCAACCCCACCCCAATGGTCCTATTGGCACCCCTGGCTTCCCTCCTCCATTGTGCCCCCTCCCCCCTATCTCTCCAGCTGAGTCGGGGAGAAGCAGCATTTCAGTGTGCCACCCTGGTCATTTCAATCATCACAGAGCAGCAGGAATGTGCAAGGATTTCCCTGGGAATTGGCTCTGGAAGCATTCTCAGCCTGGGGACAGGATGCCAGCCTGTGCAGTGACTCATGGGAATTCAGGGGTGTTTAATTTTGCCCTGGGGCTCAGATGGGGGAGGGGGAGAAGAGGAGGCTGGAGGGCAGTTGCTTGGCCCGGGGACACTGAGAGACCGTGGGTGTTAATGGTGAATAAACCTAAGTGCCATTTACCAAGTGCTGGGTGTGTGCCAGGCAGGCTGGGCTGCGGGGAGGCCTCGCCTCATTCAGTGGGCAGGGCGGGCAGGGGAAGTGGGGGGAGCCTCATCGCATCATCTCCATTTTGCCGATGAGGAAACTGGGGCTCAGGGAGGCCTGAGTCAGCAAACCCTCCCTCAGCCTCCCCAAGATCAAGGAGCAGGGATCGTGGCCTGTGATCCTCCAAGTCCAGAGCCCTCATGCTTATGGACTGAACTGATCTGAGCCTCAGTTTCTACAAGGGGAGAGAGAACCCGGCCCGGATGAACTTGCAACAGTCTTCCTGGGCTTGTGAGGTGTGGTCCCAGCGCCGAGGGGGCGTGGCGTGCTCCTCCCAGGCCACAGGCGAGAGGAACCGGGGCCGGGGAAGGGGAATTCGCCCAGGAACTGCGCTGCGCGGGGGCGGGCCGGGGCGCCCCGAGGGGGGCCGGGGGTACTCACATCGATGTTCCTGAGGATGACGCACTTCCCGTTGGTGTAGAGGAAATTATTGCCCTTGGGGTCGCCGCCGAGGATCTTGGAGACGCCCCTCTCCACCTGGGGGAGGCTGGCGAACACCTTCTCTGCAGAGACACCAACGCAGCGGCGGCGCACGTTAGGGGCGCCCCGCCCGGCCCTCCCCACCCCCCGCCCGGCTGAGGCCAGAGGGGAGGCGAGCGGGGGCTCCGGGCCGGGCTCAGCCGTCACCTGTTGCCTCCACCCGGAGGGAGGGCCGGCCGCCACTTGGAAGGAGCGCAGGGGACTGTGCGACTTCCTGGTCCACGATCCCCCCCGCCACCCCCGCCAGCCCCTTCGGGGGCGAGGGGGCTCCGCAGGCCCGGCCCGCACCTCCAACTTTGGGGGGTCCCCGGGCCGGGGTCGCCCCCGAGGGCGGCGGGGCGCTCGCGGGGCCTGCGCCCGCGCCCCTCCCCCCCCGCGGACCCCCGCCGGGCCGCCCACGCCCCGCGATGGCCGCTGGCCGAGGGGGCCGGCGGCGCGGGCGCCCCCCGGGCCCCCCATCCCCCGGCCCGGCACTTACTGATCTCGTACGGCATCCTCGCCCACTTGTTACCGCGCCGCGCTCGCCGGGACCCTCGGGGACCGCCCGCGCCGGGAATCAGACAGACCTGGCCGAGGCCGAGCCGGGAGCGGAGCGCAAGGCGGCGCCGGGCGTGCCGGACGCGGAGGGGGCGGTCCGAGGCCGCGGCTCCCAGGCCCGCTCGCGCCCTGCCCTGCGCGCGGCCGCGGCGGACGCGCCGAACCCGGAAGCGCGGCCCCGCGCGCGGCTCGCCCCCAGCTTTGACCATATATAGTCAAAGCGCTCGGCTCGGCGCGGCGGCCGGCGGGCATGCGCGGACCGCCCGGCCTCCCCGCCCCCGCCCCCGCCCCGCAGGCCCCGCCCCCGGAAGTACGTCACGGCGCGGCCCCTTGAAAAAGCGGCGCGGGCTCCAGGCTGCGTCCGAATTTCCCTGGGAGCGGGTTGGGGGCGTGGGCGCTGGGGCGAAGGGTGGGTGTTCTGTGCTGGGGCTTTGGGGGCACCAGAAGCACCAGCGCCTGGTTTTGGGGGGCTCGGGAAGTCCTTTTTTCATGGCTGAGTTGCTGGCCGCTAGCTTCCGGCCCTGCGGGCGCCTTGTGTTTGCAGAAGCTGGGAGGCGCCCGCTGGGAGGGTTTGCAAACATAGTGCTTTCTTTCTTTCTTTCTTTCTCTGTTTCTAAAAAAAGCACGGGTCCGTGGGAGTTGCCCCCCTCCTTCCCCCGAAAAGGGCTGCTGGCAGAAAGAACTCTTCTCAGAAGTTTATTTTAGAAAGCTTAAGAAGCCAAGAAAAGCGAGAGATGGGGGCTGGAGGGGAAGGGTGTAGGTTCTAAGAAACCCAGGGGTTGTTTCCTCATCGAGAAAGCGGAAGGAAAAGGGGTTTCATGTCAGAAGATGGAGGCAGCGGCTCCTAGGGGGAAATCAAGGGCTCTGAGGTGTGTTCCCTGGAGCCTCACCTTGGGGTGGGGGGGTCCTCTCTCTCGGAGTTGGGGGGCAGGGTAAATGTGAGGGCATATAAAAGTACCTCTCTCTAAACTGTTTTCTAGTTTGGGCTTACATCCTTGACTTTCTAATCTGACGGGAAATTCCGTTTCAAAATGTATCCAGGTTAATCATTCCTGGCCTCCCTCGGCTATCTCTGGGTTATTCATTGCAGGCTTGCCCAATTGGATTTCTTGGCTTGTGCTCCTGTCTCCTCCCCACCCCCCATCTCAGTCTGTTTTCCTGATTACAGCGTGGGTGTGTTAGATAGAAAATCAAATCTCACTGTTTAAAAACTACAGAAACTCCCAAATCTCAAAAGAAAAGCTTAAAGTCCTTGCGATGGCCTACCTGGGCCCTCGGAGTGGTCTCCGGGATTCTCCTCTGCACCAGCCCTCTACCCTCAGCTGTACCCTCCCTGCCTGCTTTTCTCCTGCAAGGTGACCTTGGCGTCCCTGGGCCTCTGACGTTTGTTCTCTACCTGGAATTATTTGTCCAAAAGTACTTAGGTTTAAACAGTTTCTTGAACATTACCTACCCTGACTACCTTATTTTTAAATGGCAACCTTCCAGCCCTTACAAACACTTCTGATACTCCCTTCCCTGGCTTCTGTCTGGAGTATGTCTATTCCTGGCACGTGGTAGATGCTCCCATGGGTGACCCAGCACCCCCAAATGGAACCTTCAATCAAAAAGCAATGGGGTGCTCGCTTCGGCAGCACATATACTAAAATTGGAATGGTACAGAGAAGATTAGCATGGCCCCTGCACAAGAATGACACGCAAATTCATGAAGTGTTCCATATTAAAAACAAAAAAACAATGGGTGTGAAGGCAGTTTCGTGAACTAAAAGGACCCTAGAAACCTTGACTTTGTGCAAAAATGCTTCAAAAGCAGAAATGCGAAACAAGTGGGGCAGTGAGTGTTCTGAGAAATGGGGTTTGAACGATCAGGCATTAATGGGACTGGGGTTAAGAGCAGGTGTGATGACTGAAGTTCACCCCGAGAGCATTTATGTGATGGACAGACTGATTAGGATGTAAAACTAAGGCACCACCCGCCAGCTCTTGCAAGCAGGTGTGCAAAACTTTGTTGAATTTAACGCTATTTAAAACGAGACTCGAAATCAAACCTCGGGGCGCGTGCTAGGCTCTGTGTAAGTTCTATGTGGCTCTGGGGCTTAAGAAGCTGGGGGTAGGATGGGAATGATGATAAAAAACCATAAGTATGTCTGCAAACAGCGTGATTGGAGGCAGCTGCTGGGAAAGAGGGCAGGGATCATTGCCTGGTTCCATTGCTGGGTGATCTCTCAGCTGTAAGGGCTCAGTAATACCTTGCTGGCATCAGCTGTGTCTGGCTGTGGTTCCAGCGCTTTTTTTCTTGGGTTTTCCTACTCCCTACATGCACCTTCGTTATAATAGAACTAGAGGCCCAGTGCATGAAATTCGTGCACGGCTAGGGTTTCTAGGCCTGGCTGGTGATCAGAGCCAGTCAGGGCCTTCCAGCTGCCAATCGAACTCCCAAGGGGACACTTTGCATATGAGCAATATATATATATATATATATATATATATATATATATATATATATATACACATACACACACACACACACACACACACACACACACATATATGTCTTTAACAGAGGGTGCCCTCAGACTTCAGTGTGGACCCTGAAAGGTCTCTATCCCAACGATTCAGTGCTCTACATGCCAGCACAGGCACTTCTCTAGGTCTCCTATGTTCCATGCTTTTGTTAAAACCCGGCCTGCCTGTGTAAGCCTGTATGCTTCTATAGCCAACTGCCTCCCAGGCATCGTGGTGGGAGTGTTGAAAGCCAGTCCCTTCCATTGAATTCTCAAGTAGTATTTGTTCCGCAGGCACTCCTAGGCCTGCTGGGTTGATCAGTCTCCCTGTCCACCGCCTGGGAAACAGCAATGGGAACAGGGACCGCGTGTTTTTCAACCCTTAGCAAAGGGCCCACCAGGTGGGCTGAGTGACTGCTGATGGGTGTCCTAGAGGGAACGACCCACAAGAGCAGCACCTGAGTTTGCGTTAAGTTCCGAAGCATAAGTTAGTGTGGCTTCAAAGCATCCTGTTCGGGCAACAGCTTAAGCAGCTCTTTCTTGAAGTCAGAGGCTGGCCTTGGAGAAAGGGGTTGCAGACTGGGTAACGTGGACGAGACCCTTAGGATTGGTTTTAGGGGTGTAGGAGGCCTTACAGCCTCCCCTTGCAGAGGGAGGTGGGTTCTGGTCAGTTCTGCTGATGCTTTGCAGTGAAGTGAGGGCTGGGGACGTGGCCCCAGGGGAATCTACCTCGTCCTGAGCATGCGTAGCCTCAGAGCCCTGTTTTCTCTTAAATGGGGATATACCAGAGGCCTTTGCGACTCCTGCTCTCAGAAGTTTCGGGGGAGGAAGGAAGAGAAAGGGATGGGACAGGCGTTCTGAACTTGAACCTACTTGCTCACTTGCAACCCCCACGTTCTCCTGTTGGCTTGACCTCCTCCTTCCTGTTGTTTAAGAGGGCTGGGCAAAGGACTCTGCCAGGAGCAGCAGGAAGCATGGCGGGTACCTCCCTCCAGCAGCTCCCATCTGAACTAATCCATGAAGGAATCTTAATCTCTCTCCTGGGTCCTTCCCTGGACAAGCTTAGATAAACCACACTAAGGGCCACCTGCAAAGTGTCCTTGGAATAGATCCCCTCCCCCTCTACACCCACCTCACCTCCATCACCTCGTTTTCACCAGGAGTGGCCCCTCACTTCCCAATTCCCAGAAATGACCCCAGGTTGGATGGAGGTTCTACTCCTAATCTACTCAGCTATAAAGGTGGGGAGGGTAGTGTGATGTCCAGTGCGGCTAACTTATCTCCAAGGTACCGCCTGCTGATCCTGAAAAGCTGGGGTGGGGCTTCGGGCTTTCCTACTAGAAGGGAGACATTTAGAGCTGGGTCATCACCCCAAGAGCTCTCTATTGCTCTTGTCCGCCATGCTTCTGTCAGAGGATTAATAAAACAAAACCCTGGCCTGGCCTGACTATAAATCTATACAAAAAGCCCAGCTGACGTGGCTCCGTGGTTGAGTGTTGACCTATGAACCAGGAGGTCACATTTCAGATTTCCAGTCAGAGCATATGCCTGGGTTGGGGGCTCAATCCCCAGTTTGGGGCGTGCAGGGAATAACCCATCAATGATTCTCATCATTGATATTTCTCTCTCCCACTCTTCCTTCCTCTCTGAGATCAATAACAATATAAAAAATCTATACAAAAGCATTAATCTCTGGCTAACATGAGAACAATTCTTCCAACGTGAGAACAAGTAAGCTCTCTCCAACCCTGGGTGCAGGCTTGGGGCTGGGTCTCTCCTTGGGCTGCTCAATTGAAAACACGTGGTATTTAACAAGGTCCCACAAGGGGGCGCTGTGCTTTGTAAAGAGGGAAATGCGTCGCAGGTGTAACCAGCACTGTGAGGGTCTTCAGCTCCCTCCCTGCGGATTTTTGTAATCAAAGAAAATGTGGTAATTTCAAGGGAAACATCAAAAGAGCTTTATTCAAAGTAATGTCCATCACTAGCTTCACATTTCCCTCATCTATCAGGTAATTTGTGGATACCGTCCCAATAGAACTTTTCTTGTTTTGAGGCAAACCATTCAGCTCCAGAACAGCTCCAATTTTCCTCTTTGTGTTTTGACGTGCTGCTCAGAAAGTGTGTGTGCTATTGATCGGAACAAGTGGTAATCTGAAGGAGCAAGGTCTGGTGAATACGGCGGGTGGGTTACTTCCCAGGCAAGATATTTTAACGTGTCTTTAACTGGTTTTGAAGTGTGTGATGGTGTGTCATCAAAGCAAAATTATTTTGCGGTGTCTTCTGGCACATTCTGGTTGTTTTACAAAATGTGGTTCAAATTTATTATTTGTTGTTGGTAGTGATCAGTATTAACGGTTTCACCTGGTTTTAGCTCATAATATACCACACCTTCCTGAACCTACCAAACACAGAGCAGTGTTTTTTGAAACAATTTGGCCTTGCAGTCCATGTTG